GGCTGTCGGAGGAGCCGAGGGAGCGGGCCGGGGGCCCCCAGCGCCCGCCAGCCGTGTTTGCAGTGGGACGCTGCTGTACCACGAAGGAGCGTGGGGCTGTGGGCTGTGCCCGCGGGGGTGCCTGCAGGGCCCTGCCTTCCGGGGACAAAATTTGCAAGTTGCTCCTTTCTGTAGCGCTGTTTTCATGACTTAGTTCTGTTTCCTGTACATCCTGCCATAAGAAATTGGTGTGGGTTTTTCTTGGGTTTTTTGGTTTGTTTGTTTTGGGTGGGTGCACAACCCTCTACTTTTTTTTTTTTCTATGCATAGTTTACCAGTTAGCTTTGGATAAACTTGCAGTTTTGTGTGTTGTTGCTACGGCAGCTTAATAATGAAGTAAAAAGTCCTTTGTGCTTTTTTTAAAGGAAAACTTAACATTGGTGTTGAAACCATTCAGCATGGGGTAGAAGGACTAACATATCTTCTTACTGAAAGCTCCAAGCTCATGGTAAGGATACCTTTGTGAAATGAATTCAGGGAGACACTCAAGAGATGTCTTCCAAACACTTACAGCTATGAAAATACTGATGAATGAAGAAAACCTAGTTCACAATTCTGGTAGCATGTATTCTTTTAATCAAAAAAAAAAAAAAGTGTCTCTTATGCTGTTCTCTTATTGAAACACTGCATCTGTGTGGATGACTGGAGTTTGTATTCAGTGTCTGAAGCTAAAACTTGACAGCATTTTAATAGCGTATAGCAAGAACATGCAGTAATCTGGTCTGTATAGAGAAGCTTACTTCAGGATTAAGCCCTGTCTAAATAGCAAAACTTGAGTGAAGCTTTTTGTTGTTGTTCAGCTACTATACAGGATGTGTGCTGTACTACCCCCCTGTTAGGTATTCCTTATGTTTGTCTGATGTGGTAGGTTTGAGAACTTTTTCAGCTCCTGACATCAGAAGTTTGGGTGGCTGTAAGCAGATAGTAAAATAATAATAGTTGGATAATTACGGTTTCCTTTGGAAAGACTTTTTACTGTTGGTACCGTAGAATATTTGAACAATGAAGACATGGAGAAGGGATCCAGAGACAAGTAATTCCAAGCTAAACTCAATCAGGCATTGTTCTGAAAAGCAGGTGGGGAAGGGAGGGAAATATTGCAGGATCTTCCCTTGAAGTAAAGTGACCTGACTGACAGATAAATTATAGCGTGTTATGGTAGAATATAGTTGATCACAGAATGTGTTTACGGTACAAATGCATTGTAAGCGTATGACATTTTCTGTGGAATATATAAATACCTGCTTCCACAATGATGACGAACCAAGCTTCTCCAGTTCAGCACAAAGGTATTGGCCAGTGGGAATCAGTTTCTTGGTGCCACTCTGAGTTACTGTAACGCGAGCCTTGAAGTTGTACCTCGTGCTTGCTTACATGTGCAGACACTGAGATAATTTCAGAGTATTTTTATATATATACACACACACACACACACTTGAGTATCAGTATTATGTTAACATACTGTTGATAAATTGATAATCGAAATACGTACTTCCTCATGACAAAGCTCAGATGCTTTTCTGTGTTGCATTTTGTTCTCTGATACGAAGGCTTAAATGTGAGGATGTTGAATGTTCTTCTTTTTAAAAAAAAATGATCGAAAACTGTTCCTGAAGCTCATGCAAATCAGCAGTAATACATCTACACGTGTAAATCACTTAAAATCTGGATGATTTGTTTTGTCCTCCCACATTCCTGCAGGAAAATAACTGCACCATGCCATGTGTAATGTTTACTTACAGTTTTATTTGTTTCTCAACAAATAATGATTATTACACAGTTCTGTATTAAGGCCTAGATTGTTTTTTCTAGATTTCTGAGATAGACTTCCAAGATTCCATTCATGTTCTGGGATTCTCAGATGAATTGAACAAATTACTGCTTCAGTTGTACCTCGATCACAGGAAGGAGATCAGAAGCATTCTCAGTGAGCTGGCACCAAAGCTTCCCAGCTATCACAGTCTTGAATGGAGACTGGATGTGCAGGTAAGTTCTACTGTGTTTTCAGTGTTCTGTATTTCACTTTACATTTTTTTAACATCATAAAACAGCTACTAAACAATTAATTTCTATTATTTCAAAGAATTGAGGCAGCATTTTTTCATGTATTTAAAACCAACATAATTTTGTTATTGCACCAGAGATAGTTATGAGATGAACAGGATGTGTAATGGTGCAAAGTATTTGTTGCTTGATGAAAATTGAATTCATAGCTTCACTGGTGTTTTAAAAACATTAGCATATACTGAATATATTTGGTCTCGATTATCACCTAATTTTCAGAAATACTACGAAAGCACTGATTAAAGTGGATTAATATTGCCTAATGTTGAACCTTTTGAGGTTCAACAAGGCCAAGTGCCAGGTCCTGCACTTTGGTCACAACAACCCCAATGCAACACTACAGGCTTGGGGCAGAGTGGCTGGAAAGCTGCCTGGCGGAAAAAGATCTGGGGATACTGGTTGACAGCTGGCTGAATATGAGCCAGCAGTGTGCCCAGGTGGCCAAGAAGGCCAATGGCATCCTGGCCTGTATCAGAAATAGTGTGGCCAGCAGGAGTAGGGAAGTGATCGTGCCCCTGTACTCGGTGCTGGTGAGGCTGCACCTCGAATACTGTGTTCAGTTTTGGGCCCCTCACTACAAGAAAGATGTTGCATTGCTGGAACATGTCCAGAGGAGAGCAACCAAGCTGGTGAGGGGTCTAGAGCACAAGTCATATGAGGAGCGGCTGAGGGAACTGGGGCTGTTTAGTCTGGAGAAGAGGAGGCTGAGGGGAGACCTGATCGCCCTCTACAACTGCCTGACAGGAGGCCGTAGCGAGATGGGGGTCTCTTCTCCTGGTAACGGGTGATAGGACGAGGATAAATGGTCTGAAGTTGCGCCAGGGCAGGTTTAGGTTAGACATTAGGAAAAATTTCTTCACAGAAAGGGTTGTCAGGCACTGGAATGGGCTGCCCAGGGAAGTGGTCGAGTTCCCATCCCTGGAAGTATTTAAAAGATAGGTAGACAAGGTGCTTAGGGACATGGTTTAGTGGCGGGCTGGCAGTGTTAGGGTAACGGTTGGACTTGGTGATCTCAAAGGTCTTTTCCAACCTAAACAATTCTATAATAAAACTAAATAATAGATTGTGTATATATGTATAATGTGGATGAAAAATTTCCTCCAAGCGGGTCCTGCAAACCTGCTGTGAATTGTAAATATGCAAGTTGATAACCGTCCTCTTCTTTGTTTGTCTCCCTATTCCCGTTTCACGTAAATTCCCTCATGCAGCTTGCAAGCAGAAGTTTGAGACAACAGATTAAGCCTGCTGTGACTCTAAAGCTACACCTTAATCAGAATGAAGATCAAACTGCCCAGGTGTTGCAAACCGACCCTTCTACCCTCCTCCACCTAATTCAGCAACTGGAACAAGCGCTGGGGGAAATGAAAACAAACCATTGCAGGAGAATAGTGCGCAACATGAAATAGTATTGATTCATAGCTGTTGTCTTACTAAGTGGTTTGTGAAACAACTAAAAACAATGTTCACAAATACATTTTGAGGAAAAATAAACATCTGGATCAGATGAAATGCTTTCCTGTGCCAGGATCTTGAGGCAGTAATTATAGGCTGAATGTCTATAGGTGCTAACTTTACACTCCTGCCTGATATGAGATAGGTAATTGATTTTGCTTTACTTGCAAATGTAGAAATTCAGCATGCTATGCTGAGACTTTCTTTAGCTCTAAATTAGTATAGTTCTACTCAAAGAACTTTCCTACATAAAGTAGAGCTGTCTCAATATTGTATGAAGCTGTACATTTATTTTTACATTTATCAAGTAGTTTTTTCCCTTGGTTTTGCTTCTGTTTTGAAATTTAAAAAAGAAAAACAAAAACCCTATACTGGTGGGAATGATACTTTACAGGAGTGTTTCTTCCATCAAACTGAGGTATGTGTAAGAGTACATGTGGGACTACTGCCCTCTTCCTCCAAAGGATTCGGTCAACTTAGAGGCTGGGTGTAACACGCTTTTCTACCCTTGCGTAATGAAAGAAAGTCTAATCAAGCTAACGCTTCCATTTTAATGAAGCTGGCTGTAATTCCTACTAGGCAGTCTCCTGCTTTCTGCAGGTAGTAGTTACCATAGAAAACCCAAGAGCCTAAACATAAGTTAACATACTGATTATTTCTATATGTAAAGGTGATCTGAAAAATTGAAGAAGTAAAACCATGAGCTAGGAGGCAGGTTAAGAATAGTGTTAACTTCTGCTAAATCTGATCTTCATGTTGTGATGCAATAATTTTTGTCCCCCTATTTGGATAGTGTGCTCATAAAGGAAAGACTAGCTAAGTATTGCAACATAAATGATGCTTTTCCATTTTTAAGAAAAATGTCTAACGGAGGTTATGTCAAAAGTCACTTTTCAGTTTTATTCTAATGCAATACTCTGTAGCTTTTGTGACTAAGGTTTAACAGTTTTACTAATTTTTTACTGTCACTAGTAAGGGTGCATCATAAAGCCCTTAAAGTACATTGGAGAGGACAGATAGGCAAGAGAGAACCTTAACATACAAATTCTGGCAATAACTCTGTATTTACTGTCTCTCATATCAGCACCATAAATTTCTGTATTAGTTGTGTTCCTACCTTCACAAGTGCATTCTTACTGTTTTGAATTTTTTGTACCTTTGAGAGGTAGTGTTTCAAATGAAACCTGCATGGCAGAAGTGCTTTCATCAGTAACACTTAATACCACTTTAAAAAAAAGTCAGTTTTCTAGAATATGGAGTTGCTTATTCTCTAATTGCTTTATATAGTGTGAACAAACTTAATTTCTTCTCCTGTACATGAATCAGCAATATGTTTCATTTACCATCCATATGTGGTGACTTTTTTTCATAGAATTGTAGAATTTTCTTCACATACAGTATGTGGTAATTAAACGTGATCAAATGTTACTACTTGTTATTTCTGATTAGTATTTTTTTAGGTAATTGGCCTACATTTTCAGGTGAAATACAAGAACAGCCTGTACGTAGGCCAGCATTTTCTCTTTATTCCATCCCTACTCACTACAGCCATAGTCTAGAACTCATGGCAGCAAACCAGAAGTTTTAGATATAAGTCCTAGAGGCTTTCCGTGTCTCATCTCACTACTGCCCTATGAATCTGAACACATTTACCTTTCTATCTCTTAAACTTCTTAAAAGAAGGAAACTAGCAGCTGTAGAGCTAGTTGGCGTCATGGTAAATGCTGGCAATTTACATGTGTGTCATGTCCTGAAGCATGTGCAAGAAGAAGAGGGGAGGGCTTCCCTTGCTGGTCATGGGTAAAATGGGCAGTTCAAAGTGGATTTTGTGAATACAGAATGTCATTAGAAAGCCTGCATATTCCCTTTTTTTTTGAAGCTTATTACAATAGCACAGAAGTAAAAACTGCAGCGCTGAATGGTCTTGTTTCCCCTAACAAAAAATTACCTGAACTGAGAATGGTCAAGGTTAAACTTCGACGCTGGGTGAAATTTAGAGAAACTCAAACTCTGGCAGTGATCCATGAACAGACTCAAGACGAAAAGTAAGGAGAAAGATCCTTAACACCAGGCATGCTGCTTTTGAACCGTACCTTTCAGTTTGTTCCGGGGAGAAGCACTGAGCCTGGAAAGCAGCTTCTCAGCAGCTAGGGACTGTAGCACTTGTTGGACAGGTACGTTTGCCTTCATGTGTGGTTGGCGTGGGTCTTTCTACAGCTCTGCAAATTCCCCCTTTCCCTCTCTTCACAGCACCGAGGGCTTTGCAGCTGCCATGACAGAAGTAGTAATGTGCAGACACAGCAGAATTATGTCTAAAAGGCGATGGTCAGTGTGAATGCACAGCAAATGATGCTTCCTGCCATTGATGTTATCATGCTGATTGGAGTTACCAATGCTGGAATTATGGTATTTCTATAGCTGCTGTTTTGTAGGGCAGTTGAAGTGGGAGAGTAAAAAATAATCTACTTCAGTGACCCATAGATAGTGGCAAAATAAGAATTCAGTCATGGATCTGGATTTTTCTGTTTTAATGTAAACTCTGTCCAAAATGAAAGGTGACTCATAAAACTATAATTAATATAACTTGTTTCCTTTCATGAATTTGCAATTGCTTTATAGAAACCCTTGAACAAGACATGGAGAGTACAAAGCATTATTCGTAAGCTATTAAAAAAATACACGTATATGTAATGTTGCTACTTTTAACCCGTTTTATTTTTTATAGGCTTTTTAAAATTTGCTCTGGTATCTAGCCACTAAAAGCAAAGTTAAATTTGAGGCCATTTAGCTACTATTTTTTTGCAAGGCTGGAAGAACTGATTGTTGATTTTATAACAGAAAAAAGTGACTTTCAACTTAACCTCTGAAAAAGTAATATAACTGATTTGTAGGCAGTGCAGCATTTTAATCGTAAAGCAATTTACAAATGCCAATGAAGTTCTGAATAATCTGTGAGGAAGTTGAGTGTATTACTATCTCATTTTTAGAAATCTATTAAGTATGGAAGGTAATCTGTTACCCTCAGCGTAGAACTTCTGTATGTTTTGGTTTACTGCAAATTTAACTTTGCTTTGCAGAACTGTCCTTCCTGTGTATGTGAAGTAACTTCGGCCTTTAGGAAGTAAGTGACTTGCGAATGGCTCCCTGGCACCTTTTTGACAGACCACTACATTCAGGTGAACTTCGTGCCAGTGCAGAGTCCAAGCGCATACATAGAACAACTGAAAATCCAACTAGTTTATGCTTAAACTAGATTATTTTCTTAAAAGCAGAGTTAGGCTCAGCCCTTAGCTATATGCTTCTCAGCAGACTTGTATCCCAGTTTATTTTTTCCTGGTCTAAACAGCAGAGGGCACAAAGTTTGTTTTTTACAGTCTCCAAAGGAGAAGTTCCGCTTTACAACCATTTTCAGCGTTTGTCGTCCAATAAGAATTGTTCATAGTCTCAAGACTTAGCTTGGAATGTATTTCACCTTATATTTTCCAAATTTGTGATCAATTTTACACTGAAAACAATAAAACTTAGTTTTCAACCACTGCAAAACATTGTTTCTTGAATCTGCTAATTAATCCGCTAAGCAACTTAGGAAAGAACATCATATATCCCAACTTAAAACTCGGGACAATGTAATTTGTTTGGTGGTGTAAAAAGTTTGTATTCTTTTAAGCACTGAGTAGACTCAAGAAGCAATGCTCTTCTTCCTCCTGTCTTTGTTTTTAAATCCTTTTGAATGAATTCTGTATGATCACTCCCTATTTTGTAAAATCTATCTTTTAAGCTTCTGATCCAATTTTTAATGAATTCCCCATCTCTCAAGCATATTTATAGACTCTCCTACAAGCTTTATTTTCTTGTACTTTTGCTTGTGCCTGCCAAGCTTTCTTGCAAGCGTTTAACGTTACTAGACTAAATACTTTTTCATCTTTAACTGGCTAATTAATTAGATGTTCCTTGAATTATATGGGGAAAACTCTTTTAATTTAAGCAGCTATAGAGTTAGTTTAGATACACACATATAGGTAAAATCAGTATCGGAACTTTGGTTTATGCCTACAATTCTCATTTAACAGAAAAACCCCTGAACTAAGATTTTGTCTTAACATTGTATTTTGAATTTATCATTACAAGTATTAGACCTGTTTTAAATTTAGTGCTATTCGTGAAATGTCTCCATGTATAGACTCCAAGGTATGAATGGTCATTTTGGTTTAGTTCTAGTTTTTATAAGAATGCCTGTTTCCTATACTGTGACTTTGTAATATTAACAATAGATAGTGCGTAGGAAAGGAAGTCCAAGATTAGGAGTAACCTGGCAAAACTCCATGAGTAAAGCTCTGCTGTTTCTTACTTATCTAAATAAAGGGAAGGAAGTCTCTTGTCACTCTATGCATGGCTCTGTGGTCAGGGTCAGGTATATTACAGCACAATCCCTTTTTTCAATGCTCTTGCTGATTTATTTTCAAGGTAAGTATAACTTGTGGCAGTTTGATTACTGCAGTTGTATCTTGGAATTTGAAATTTCACTCATTCATCAGATTTTATTTGTATCAATAGAAAACACTATTGTTTCATGTAGGGTTTTGAGTTTTGATTTAGTTGAAATGTGGCAGGTTTTAAATGTTGCCAGCAGATCTATTGAAGATGGAGTAGTGAGCAGGCTGCTTTTACGTGCATGAAAGTGCAGGTTTTACCATGATTGTGTAATACAATTTTAGAATACATTTTAGGAATTGCCATGATCATCAGTTTTATGACTTGCTTGTTCGAGATTCTTTATGACAACACTCTAAGTATGTAAGGACAGGCCATTCTTCAGTCCATTGATCGAATTAATGAAGTTTGTAAGAGGAACACCACTCCAAATACTTGCATTCTGATTTTCCCAAAATGTAGATAATATTCAGGCTTAAGATACAAGCCATAGTGACCAAATATGCTGCAAAACATATTAAATACATTTTTTCCCATCGTTAAATATGTAAGAACCTTCTACTTATCCTACTCTTTTCCTTCCCTATTTACTGCTCTGTCAAAGTGTTACTTTTTTGGCAAAAGCAAAACTTGAAGTGAAATTCAATTTTAATCAGTTTACTTATGGACTCCGCCTTACTGCACAGTGTGTTTGTATGTGTGAACATACAAAGTGGTATTCCTAGTGCTCCTAACAGATACCTAAAATCTCAGAAGTGCAGAAGTCAGGAAGCTTCTCTCTACCAGGCCTTTCAAGCATCCTGTGTTCGTAGAGCTACCATAAGATAACAAAAAATTCTGTCCTGTTGGGTTTGTCTTTAGCGGAAGCCCTAAGTAAGCCCTAATTTTAGAGAAATTCCCCAGTTGGTACTTAATGCTATTACTGAGACAAAACCTGTTGTAAACACTTTTCTGAATTTCAGGAATTGGTTAATAATTTGACATGGGTGGCCTTTAAAATCACCATTGTTTATGTTTTTCTACATCCAAATGTATCTCCCGATTTCTGGATCTAAGAATTCAAAAGTTTCCCAAATAATTCTCAGCTCTTGCTGGGGACTGCAGTTTGGGATTTTGCTGACAGTTAACAGTCTGAAGTGGGAAGTGTGAACACAGGGTGGCCATCTCAGCCTGTAGTGTTGATGAAGCTGGTCTACTTCAGCTGGCTCACTTTGCACAAACCCAGAGCCTGCATAAAGTGTTCAGATGTTCCCTTCTGCCAGCTGAGCCCTCTTGGACAGCAGCATCCAGGAAGCAGATGGCTGCAAGTAGTTTGAGGGATGGAAGCAACTGGAACTGTTCCAAGTAGATCTAAAATAAGATAGTCAGTGCTTTGAGAACCAAGAGTTCAAGCCCCAATAAAGCTAACTTGGGATCTTTTGAGAAACTTTGTTACATAAAAAAGATGAGACTATCATTTGTCTTGATTTTGTAATTATTAGAAGTTGTGACACTATTAAGATTTTCTTCAGCGATCTTTGCTTCTTCCTGGGATTTGAACATTGAGGGAATTTCCTCTTAACCGTGGCTAATTTAGGGATGAGTTGTAAAATCTTGTATCACGAAGTCTAGCATACAGTCTCACAGGAGATGCAATCCAAGAATTCACAAGAAAGCAAGATACATACCTTTTACAAATCAAGTCAGCAAATATCCTGAAAAGGATGCATACATTTTGAGTACTTCTATGTAGGTTGTTTTTACCATACAAAGTTTTCTTTTTCACCCTTTTTGAATAAGTTCTATAATGACACCTTTTAATTCTTTAATACCTTGCTGCACCAGGTCCAATATTTCAGATCTTCCTCATGAAAATCATAAAACCAAAACAAGAAGGAAAGCAATACTATGTTAAATACTAACACTTTTCCCAGAAAAAAACATGCAGTTTTCTCTCTGTCAGACTACATTGTCACTTCACGGTCTCTCTGCTAACAGCTGGAGATATTTGCCTATTCCTGTCCACCTAAAGAATAAAGGCGCGCGTTGGTCTGCATACCTGCACCCACTCTTGGGCTTTTCCCTGTGCAGCCAAACAAAAAGGGACATGGAAGAAAAGTACTTCTCTTTCTGCTTCTCTAGCTGGTTTTGGTGTCACCGGTGTGCTCAGTGGCAGGACCACATCTTAAATGATTGGGTTTAGACTGGTCAAGTTTTAACGCTTCCTAGAACAACAATTTGCCTCTCATCCCTGCTTATTCTCCCACAAAAGTTAAAGTTAGTATTGAGGATGACTTTCCAGGCAAAAAAAACACATGATGAAAACAGGGAATACTGATGATGAATGTTACTTCTACTTGCTAGGGGAAATAGAGGATCCTGCAATTCAGAAATACGCAGAACAAGTCATGCAGGCCTTATCTTCTGCAGAGAGGGGAAAGGTGAAATACACAGCGCTGAGCAGCAAGTACAACCAAAAAGATGTGTTAAGAAATATATGGCACTGTCTTTTTATTTATTTTTACATATACATACACTTATTAGGTGACAACTGGTATGTTTTGCACTAACAGCAGTAGCAGGATGTCAGAATAATTAGGTTTTGTTTCACATTGCTCTGCTGAGCTTGAGCAAATCATACACCCTCTGTATTGGACACAGGAAACTCAAACTGGAAGACTCTCCCAAAATATCAAATCTGATTGCAATTAAACTATTAGCTTTATTTCCTGGCAAAATCTAAATCAGAAAACCCTCTCTCATGCAGGTTTTATTAACAAAAAAGAAAACTGTATCTTACTTTATCTGCAAGTTGAGTGCTTTATGCTAGAAAAAGCACTTTTCATACTGGTATGATTCTCAGCACTGTTCTACGATACCCTACTGCTAAAGTTTGCAGAGCTATTCCAGAATATTTTTTCCTCTGCAGCTACTCCTGTGTATTTTAATCTTGTTAGTTGGGTAATTATTGTGGTATTGTCAGCAATGTTCATGTAGGGAGGCAGACGGTCATAACTATTCCAGAACAACTTTTGCCAATAAGATCATACTGTATTCAGCAATTTCTTTTCTTCTTTTTGCAATTCTGGACTTGTGTTCTGAAACAGCAGAGCAGATCAGGTCCCAGTTTATTTTACATGACTATTTTAAGACTTCATTTATCCCACAGAATCTGGCCAAAAATCATCTTCCAAATCTGTCTTGAGTAACTGAAAATCTTGAACACTGGTTTTCTGCCTTTTAAACATTACCACCATTTCCACAAATGTGAATTTGTTTCCTAGTTCATTTATGTGCAAAGTCAACTATATTAGGAAACCTCATTTTCATCAGCAGTTTAAAGCTACCTGAGACAAACTGATTATGGTGTGACTATGTATTTTGTTCCATTATCTTCTTGGGAGGGGGCATGCTAACCTCAGTAAAGAGGTTGAAACAAGCAGCTGTAGCATGGTGACTTCTGACATGGCTTCAGCTGTTTGCGAACCACAGCTTTTCCCATATCACTGTTGCAGAGGGCTTAAGTGTGGTCCGACTGTATTGCTGTGGATGAGCAGTGTTGGTATGTCCCATTCCACGGGCTTTGCTGTAAGGGGAATAACCTCTGAGACACAAACATTGGTGCAGTTTTTTGGTTAGCACAACTGTTTCTGAAATTAATGTCTGAGCAGTCATCTACTATAGATGTTCTCATAGCTTTCTTGCCATTAACATTACATCAACTATAAACCAACATGAACTGAGCTGGCAGAAGTTGGGTCTTGTTTTTTTTTTTTCTAGCAGACTGTGTCCACATTAGAGGTTTTGCTGGCTTGGAGATGTTGGCTGGGGATGTATGCTGACATAGCTATTTTGGTTAAACTTTGTCATATACACCAGGTCTTCGTATTAAATAAAGCACATCACAGTTGGCTACAGAGGATATTCTTTGGGTGTGTTCTGAGGTGCTGTTAGCTACCCGAGAAACAAATAGCTGTGAAATGCACACATATAAAACCCAGAATCTTAAGCATTGACCTCATTGTTAAAAAACACAATACATTTACCAAAGTATACCTTTCCAGAAGAAGTCTCTTGAAAATTAGATTAATATAGAATCATAGAATCGTTTAGGTTGGAAAAATCTTTAAGATCATCAAGTCCAACTGTTAACCTAACACTGCCATCCCACCACTAAACCATGTCCCTAAGCACCTCATCTAACCGTCTTTTAAATACCTCCAGGGCTGGGGACTCAACCACTTCTGTGGGCAGCCCATTCCAGTGCCTGACAACCCCTTCTGTGAAAAAATTTTTCATAATGTCCAACGTAAACGTGCCCTGGCGCAACTTCAGACCATTGAACTATCCAGACCATTGAACCATATAGAACTATT